AGATAAATTATCCATAAGTTTATACAGTCTGTGGAGAAGGAAGGGCTCAAATTCAAGACGTCGATTAGGCAGTGTCCAGCACAATGCTATGAAACTAGTTACAACCCCATCATTCAAGATTAACCATCTTTTGTTTTATTTTGAATTTATCTAGAATTAATCTCGTTTTTTATTTTTTTAGATAAATAAATTTTTTTTCTCATTTTTAACTATATCATTATCTATATATTAGTTTAATTGATCATTCTACCATCACAAAAGTCTCTTTTTATTTTTATTTCGTTTTGAGACCAATATAAGTAAATAGATAAATAATCTCAAGTTTTTAATTAAAAAAATCAACGAAAAAGTACAATTATAACTATTAAGTGAAATTGACAAGAAGTGAAAATTTGAACAAGTTTGACCAAAACTATAACTAATAGATGGAATTTGATTTAGGTTTTGGGCCCTTTTTTTTTTCACTAGAAATTGAACCGAACCAAGTGTAATTAGTTTGGTTTTTAATTGTTAGGTCTAGAAACCAAAAACCTAATGACTAGACCGAATGTAACTCATCAAAAACCCAACCCAAAACCTTTTAAAAAATTTTCAATGCACTTATGATGGTAATCTGCCCACCACAAAGAATCCAGCTGCCTCAATGTAACTTCAGCAAAGCCAGATAGAAGAAGAAGACTTACATTTTCTATCCCTAGCAGGCTTTACTCATGTAAAAATAACTATTAGATGGAAAAACAGTGATGTATTTAAACAACATCCACCTCTAAGGTAAACACAATATCTTGAAACTATAAATCAAAACCGTCACCTAAAAATAAAGTTCTGTATGTTGCGAGAATTCCAATAGAATGTTTAGCCAAACAGCATTACACAATCATGATTCATGAACAAGTTGTAAAATATTGAATTGTTGATGACCCCTTACAGAGGTAGAATTACAAGATGGAGAGAAACAATTTCTGGAGACATAAATATCATTTAGCAAATAAATTCATAATCATGAGATCTTTCAGTTCATGTAAATAAAATAATTCACTGTCAAATTAGTAGAGAGATGCACTCCCCGAACTTTTAAGAGCTGTGATCCTTGAAAGCAAACAAAAATGGATCTTATAGACTGATGGCTACGTACTTTTCCTAAGAAGTTACCTTGGAACATTTTTCTAGTTGTGACCTACCTAGTAATATATTGATAGTGTTCTATGGTGTTGGAGAGATGGACATTG